GGACCAACTCATGCCACGCCGTAGATGCTCGTTTACATCTACCCTTCGGCAAGTAAGTCTCTTCACAAGGGTCGGGCTGGCGAACTGTTGGCACGAGCCCTGATTGTCGACTCTGAGCTCTTAGACGTACACCATCGCGGTTGGGTCGGTTAACAGTCACTTGGGGGCCGTCATACTTACGTTGAGGTCGTTGTTTGACTCAATCGTAGTCAACTTCTATGTCACGTCTTGAGACTTCATTCCTAGGCTTCAATCACCGTATACGTGACTCCATTCCTCTCACTCCCTCACTTCATTCAACCCTACTCGAAAGGTTTGTCTGGTTCGTATTCTGTCAATGTGGGTACTGTGACAACATTCCGCGGGCCTACTCTGAGTGTAATTCATCCTTCAGCAGCGGCACAGCTTCAATAGTGCCTCGTTGCCACTCGGGTTGGCGATTGCGGCGATTGTTTCATCTTCCCGACCATTCCATGATTAATATCTCCAAGTGTTGGACTCACACGGGTCGCGATCTCGAGGCGTCATACGCGGCTCGAAGAAAAGGCTGGCCAGGGCTTGAGCAAACGATTGTCTTGGCAGGGACGTGTATCGCGATTCTCACGGGCTCACCATTGGCCCAAGTTACCAGGCAGATGGCAGTTCAGCGGGGCTCAAGCGGTCCAGCGGTCTCGGGCCGCAGTGCGTTGCATTGTACGACGGCACATGTGAATCACGGACAATAGTCAGGGACGTGGTTGAGTCCGTCCTGAGGTGACGGTGGGTTGCTCAGGCGGTCTGTTCAAACAGTAAAAATTGGTCACTTGAGAGTCACCTTCACTTCCCATCGGCCTGCCGCGATTGCACCGCCGCCTCCCACCCTTCCTCCCACTTATAACCCGCCTCCGCTCACCTCCCTCGAGACTTTCTTAACAACAGACTGAACTCTCGTCAACAGCAGTGCAGCCGACCGTCCTTCAACAGTCGTCCCTCTACTAGTAATATATCTACCCACGGACTCAGTCATCATGTCCACCGACTATATGATCAAGACTCCCGACACCGCTGCTGGCGCTACCTTTACGCCCGAGGTCACTCAAGCCGACAAAATCCGTAACGCGATGTCTGTCGACAACCTCGTCGAGAGCCCGAGTGATTCTCCTGACATCACCTCGGCGCTCATACTTGCACCACCTTCCACTCCCAAGTCCGCCAAGGAAGAGCCTTCATCGCCCACTGTCAAGACTCCTGACACCGTCATGACTGACCTCGTAAGTGCAAAGCCCCCCATCTGCACGCATCTCGCGCAATGTGCGGAGTCACCACTCCACCATTGAATCAATAGACTGACCGAGTACCAACTGAGTAAAGACCGAGCATGACCCTTCTGGCGACGAGAGTCTCGATGACGGTGAAGACGTACCCGACTCCCAGCGCGAGTTCCTCTGCATGAACGACGAGCATACCCGCTGCATGACTGGCCAGTACACCAAGGACCTGTCGCGCAAGGTCATCTCCGACCACTTTGGCCGCAACAAGGCGTGCACTCGCGACGTCACCGACTGGCCTCTCTTCTGCCGCAAGCACTACCAGCGCGCGACCTACAACAAGACCAAGTGGCAGATCCGCAAAGTGCAGCTCATCCTCCGCCAGTTCGAAGTCATCGAGAAGCAGTTCCCAGGCACCACCTACGACATCGCCTTCAAGAAGTCCGAGGAAGCGCGTCTAAACCACTACTCCCGTCAAGTCGCCGCCGGAGCCAAGAATGAACAAGCTGAGCAGAGTGTCCACCCCAAGATCGGCAAGCACTTCGAGGCGCCCATCGACGTCCTCCGCGAGCTAGACCAGTGGCTCGGCTTCAACAAGACCTACGCAGAGGTCAAGAAGATCGTCGACGTCATCCTCCAGATGCTCGAGGAGAAGGAGACTGAACAAGTCCCCTCTATCGAGTTCCTCCCCAAGCTCCCAGGCAAGACTCCATCGCCCAAGAAGACCCCAGCCAAAGCCCGTACTCCCAAGTCGCCAAAGTCACCCAAGTCACCCGCCAAGTCGCCCAAGACACCTACCCGGGTCTCCAACAAAGGCTCCGTCAAGAAGACTTCAGCAAAGGCTTAGTTCTATCATAGCGTCGCCGCGCTCAGCATCGCGACTACCGTCGCATCACGTCACTCCTTCATCCCATTGCCATTTGCATTCACGGTCTCTCTGCGGCTGAGCTACCGACACTCTAATCTTTCCTTGAGTGTCCTGGCAATATGCACGCACTACTACCATCTTCACTATGTTCACAGCATTTGCGATTTCACTCTTTCAATTCACGTGTTTGGCACCATCACGACTGTCTTCGCACACACTACACGCTGCCGTTTCATTGTCAGCGTTTCCAACGCAGGACTAAAGACTGTTCGTATGGGCGATGGCCGAACATGTACTCACTCACGGCATGGGTGTGCTTTTACTTCTATACCCTCATCTTACGATGGCGACTTATCTTGTCTTGTCTCTTGCATTATAGGTAGATCTTGTGGGCGTTTAGGCATAGGGTGTCCTTTCTGGGGGTTGGAGTCAGGGTGTGGGCATGGATTCGGCCTCACTGGGTCTGTGGTATTACGGGTCAGGGTTGGGGAGTTGGGTATATACTACGATAATCAAATTCAAATCTCTTATTAGAAACATGCATCATTGAATTCCCCGCATTCCTCATCGTGACGCTGCCGTTACGGTTGGCTTTGACATCGACATCGACAGCGACGTTGGTGCTCCATGCACTGTCGTCACTCACGTTACACACATTACATGCAATATCCCGTTCCTGCATATGCACACTGCACATGCACCATGCATCCCCGGACGGCTATTGCCTCGTCTGCATGTGTGTCACCGATACTGTCTACCGCCTGCCCCGCCGCACGGTGTGCTCTGTAGACGCGCTCTTTGGTGTGTACCTGCATTCTGAGTCAGACTTCGGGGGCGGTCTTTTTCGTTGTGACTGTGCCACATGTTGAGTAGCCTCGCTTGGTTGGTTGGTGAGGCTGGCCCCCTCGTGGACGCGCTTTCCCCCACATGCAACGCATCCTGCGAGTCGGGCCGAGGGTGTGGCGCGGGTTTGTGTCTCACTGCGGTGTTTGGTTGCGTGATGCTATGGGGAGAATGGGGGTAAATGTGTTGTGGTGATCGTCGTTGCTTTTGCTATGCGAACGTATTCTCTGACGGACATCTCCGATGGCGTCTGAAGCCAGCTGCGGCATCTCACCGTAGCTCTCTCAAGACGTGGGAGTGAGGGAAGCCGTCCAAAGCTGCAACTCACCTCATCATCCTCAGGTGGTAACAGAGGTCGCGTATAAGAAACACGCTTCATCATGTTGGCCTGCTTGTATCTTACACCTGCATCTACCCCATCTCGTGCATCTCTCTACTTCTACTTCATCTTTCCTCTGCCTCATACTTTCCAAGATGGGCGACAAAGACATCGAGCCCTGCGGAGTCTGGAGCGGCGACTTCTCATGGGACGGCTATTTCATGCGAATGCACATGAAGACAGTTACCCAGCAATACGACATGTACAATCCCCGCACGTGGCCCTTGGTGAGCCAGGTTATAGCAACGGAGAACAACAGTGACTACAGAAAGAGCAAGGTCCCTCCCGAGTATCTGGTATACGAACAGACGCTCATCAAGGACATGGACGGACTTCGACCTCTTCAAGGCCAGCGGACTGTCAATCGTCGGAAGAATCGGACGATGAAAAACCTCTTTCGCTACTATCCGCTCAACTATGATCGTAATGGCGAATTGAGAGCGCATCCGCATATACCGTCTGACGAACTGGAGGAGTGGATGAGTCAAATCAAGGAGAACAACCCGGTTGCGAAGAAAGAGGAGGACATCAAGGATGTGATAGTCGGAAACCATGCGAATGAAGAGGTTACTGAGGATGACTCGCCCGAAGCAGCAGCGATTCACGAGATCATGAAGATGTTGGACGACACAGATACAGTGCCCAACAGCAGAGTGACTGAACTGGAAGAAGAACTCGACGATACCAAAAAAGAGAACCTAGAGGCACATATTAAAGCAGAAACCGCGGAAAAGAAAGTTACTGAAATGATGGCCAAGTACCAAACGGCTGTTCAAAAATTCTCCGCCCAGGTTGGAGACGCGCTCTGTGAGTACAAGGAACAGTCGCACAAGCTCCTTTCCCAAGAGCGCACCAATCTCGGTACCCTGAAAGAGATATTGGCGAAGAAGGAAGATGAGATCGCCAGCCTGCAGTCGAACCTCAAAAAGCGTGGCGAAGACGTCTTGACAGCGAAGCAGGAGACGATGGTGGCAAAGCAGCAAATCTTCAAGATTTTGGAAGAGATGAAGAAGAAGAAACAGGGTACAGGTTTGCAGAAGAAGAGAGCGGAGGAGGATGGGGCAGAAGCAGCACGGAAGAAGCCAAAGATTGAGAGTTGCGAAATGCAGTAGCAACGGAAGGGATGTGCGCGCGCGTCCGGTTCTTGATTCCTGCGTATGCTGGCTTGTTTGGCAGGAAAAGTTGGGGAACGTGACAGTCGGTCTAGATCCACTGGGTCGCCAAAGACGTGGCTGCGTCATATGGGTTTAGTTCGGAAATGCTTCAGGTACTTTGTCCTGCCCGTACCTGGTCCGTGGGACTCGTTGGTAGTGTGGCGTCTGTCAGGTCCCATCCCTGTCCCTTATTCTCACTCTCAATAGATTTACTGAACTTGCGTTCAATACGAGAAATGTTCCAAGGTTCCATGGCAACCAGAGGTGAAAATGGCTCATGGTGAAGGTGAACGAGGAGCGCTCGCCCTCTCACCGCGAATCTCCCAGACTAACCGAAAGGGCGGGAGTTTGATCACGACGAGCGACCCCTACAGCCAGCAAAATCTCTCCTGCTTCTTCCAACTGATAGCAGCAACGTCCTGCCACTCGTTTTTCGCTAGAACCTCTCAAGGTGGGTCAAGTATGGCCGTCGGCGCATCACAAATGGCTAACACGATCACGACGCAAAGATGGCACCTCTACCGCGCTATGAGGGCACCTTCAGCTTCGTCTCTTCGAGGCTGTATGCGAGCATCAAGCGCGCCATCCCTACCTACGACAAGGAAGACCCAAAGACCTGGCCCTACGTCACTCTGTCAACGATCGAGAAGCTTCGCCCGTACCAAGGTTATCCAGATCTGCCTACAGGCGTAGCCTACCAACGAGAAGCGATGAAGCGATACGAAGACATGTACACACCACAAGAGCGAGCAATTGCCGCCTCCGTGAACGGTCCTTTGTACCAACGGTACCCATACAACTACGACCGATTCGACGAGCCGAAAGAGAAGGTCGGTATGTCAGGAGCGGAGTATCGCAGCTACATGGCCAATACAACTGCAACGCCGTCTACACCACGCGTGTGCGAGCGCGAAGAATGGGAGCAAGACATCCTCGACAGCGCAATCGACTGCTCCACACCCCATCCTCACAGCCAGCCATCAGAGCCCGAGTCCCCCACACCAGCCAACCGAACACAACCCCACTCCCTCTGCTCCAACAAAACCTGCACAGACACCCGCCGCGAAGCAGCCAGACTCCGAGGCACCCTCTTCGACAAAGACTCCCAACTCCTAAGCTGCCAATCCGATCTCAAAGAATACGAGACAACCGAAAAGCTGCGACGTCGTGCCTTGGAAGACGCGGAGTACGAGGTCGAGAAGGAGAAGCAACGTGCGGATGCTGCGGAGAAGGAATGCATGCTGAAAATGGAGGGTAATATTAGGTTACAGCAGCGCATGAGGGAGTTGGAGGTCAAGGTGAACCAGGCGCAGGAATTGGATACGTATTGTGTTGAGTTGGAGGGGGAGATTGAGAGGCTGAATAAAGTGCGGGAGGAGGAGGAGGGGTCTGATGACTATCATGATGGTGATGATAGACCGCGCAAGAGGATGCGGTCTGAGAGTTTGTAATGAGGATGAGGGTTCTTGTATGATTGTCGCAGTCGCGTTCTCGCGATGCACAACTGCCGCGGAGACGCCGCACGCGAGATTTCGGCAGCGCTAGCCCATTACGTTGCGAACACCTTCCCCGCTCAATGCGTCATTGTCGCGAGCTGTCACTTGTAGCTATATACTCCGCACTGCGTCACTCGATTAGGCAAGACATTTTCTCTGGCATCGCTCTGGACCGATGCACTCATTCTGAATTTGTCAGACCACGCCCTACAGCTGTATCTGTATTAGTACACGACATAAGAAGAGAGCCGTGTGACTAGTACACTGCAGAAAAAGACCTCGTTGGGGAGGAACGCTTACAGTTGTTATACCTTCCTAAGGTTTTGCGCAAGTCGTATAATCTTGACTATTCGGTAACACAACCAGCAACATGGCACTCCCGGCCACTACGCAGGTCGCGATTCTACTGTCGATCTTCGTCTTACCCATTCTCACATACTTCTACTTCACCAAGAGCCAGCAAGCAAAGAGTAATTCTGGGCCTTTGCCAGCAGCGACAGAGATTACAGGGCTCTTCATACACCCCATCAAGTCATGCCACGGCATCAGCGTAAAGTCAGCGAAGCTCTTGCCAACCGGCCTGGACCTCGGTGCGCCTCTGTTGTCAGATATTCAAGAATTGTAACATGCTGACGGAGCCAGATCGTCAATGGATGTGGGTGAGCTACCCAAACTACGAGTTCCTGACGATCCGCCAAAACTCCAAGATGACACTGATCCGGCCAACCTACGATGAAAAGACTGATACCCTTACCGTTACTGCACCAGCACCGAATTCGGTCGACGAGAAGTTGGAGTTCTCAATCCCAGCTCATCCATCAAAGGAATGGCTCGACGAGAATACCGAGGAGCACTCAGCGAAGATCTGGAGTACAACAACGGGAACCCGCGTGTACTCTACGAAGATGACCGCACCATTCAACAGCTTCTTCGATGAGGAGGTACGACTTGTGTATAAGCCCCCTGTCTCCGAGGACCCCAGGCCTCTAGTATCGAACGGTGCACCAGCTGTCCTAGGGAGAGATGCATCGACCTGTTTCCCCGACCTGATGCCCGTGCTCGTCGGCAACCAATCCAGCATCGACGAACTTAACACGCGTCTTAAAGCCGCAGAAGGCCTCACAATCGACGTTCGTCGCTTTCGCCCCAACATCCTCGTCAAGGGGGATGCTAACGCGCCTTGGGATGAAGATCGCTGGAAGACGATCAAGATTACGTCTGATGCTGATAACAAGCCAATCATTCTGGACATCACCCAGCGATGCGCGCGTTGCCAGGTGCCTAATGTACATCCTGATTCGGCGGAGAAGCACAAGACGCAGCCTTGGGACGCGCTGATGAAGTACCGGAGGATTGACGAGGGGATTACATACAAGCCCTGCTACGGTATGCTTGCAGTGCCGAAGTCGGTTGGGGATCTCAGGGTTGGCATGAAGTTTGAGGTTACTGAGGTCACGGATAAGCATCGGTATATCGCTGGATTTTAAGGGGGTGGAGCTTGACGGTTCATGCTGATGAACCCTTACTGGCTGCTGCGTATATCGAGGAGACTGACCGAATGCCATCACAGCGCAAGCCATTGCGACACAGTTGTCGTACGACTCTCCACAAAGGTTGTACGGATGATCAGATCAGCACACAATTTCTCTGCTGTCAGCCTCGGAAATCAAAAGAAGCTAGCTGTAAGCTGCCCGATTTATGTAGCCTTTGGAAGATCGTAGGTGCATCGATTTGCAGCTCCTGAAATCTCTTCAGATGATTGTTAGAGATGTTGCCCAAGCTACAGCTATCATAAGCGGATCCCCACGTAGTTCACATGCGAACAGCCGCCATGTGCAGCGGCAATTATGACGAGTGTTCCTGATGATCCATCGGATCTGCAAAGCAAAGACTGCCGAAGCGGCTCCGCCTCTAGCCCGCGTTGAGATTAGCGACGCGACGCGACAGACAGGGGTACACCTATTATCGTGTCCATGGCTGACTTTCTCTTGAACTCAACTTTCTTCTAGGAAATGTAAGAATTACCCACAGGCTGTTTCCAGTATGTTTCGCACAACCATGGAGATGGCATTGCGCGCGCGTGCAGAATGGCGGCGGCATTGTTTCGAAACATCAGACTGCAACTCAGTGGAGATTACGCGCGTTCATGATCGGACCGTGACGTGTGACGACGACTATCGGTGTTGAGACCCTGGCGTTTGGGACGCAGGGACACCAGACGGAAGGCACACAGAGGGGATACAGAAAGCGCGTCCCACCTGCCCGTCGACCAAGTATGACAACTTCCGCTTCCAGCGAGGGAGTCACAGGTCGTCGAATCGCTCTTTCCTTTCCACACCCACCATGGCAGGCGATGCAATGCTGGCATTGCCAATGTCTCCGACACAGTCGCCCAAGGAGTTTGGAAGTGCCGCCGTACAATGGGCATGCACGCGAAGAGGGAGGATGATGGTCTTGACGATTGCACTTCTCACGGTTCTGCTTGGACTGACGGGTATGAGGAATCATGAGGTACGTTTAACCTGATACAGACACCAGAAAAGACGATGTCGAGAATACGACATGCCCCGCCAGACCTGAACGTCATCATTGGGGTCCAAGCTAACTCCAACAGGCCATATCTTCACGATACCACAACTTCTCCTCGTACTACCCATGGCGACCGTATCTCCAGCCCCTGCCCGACATCGTACACTCGCCATTCAAGACCCCCTCGAACACTACGCTGCAGATCGAGAATGGCGAACTCGACCACGTCCCGCCGAAGCTCAAGAAGACGACGCCGAACTTCCACCTTCTCATGCCTGCCGAGCGCGATACAGACGGCTTCTGCAAGACGACTCTGTCTGCTATGCTTCTCCACTACCCTCCACCGACTGCGGTACAACTGAATAAGCCATATGAGTCGGATTTCAAGTGGGACAGGGATACACTGAACAGCACACTGCATTACCTGAGTAACGAGAAGCTCGTCAAAGATCATGACTTGGTTCTCATCGTGGACGGACAACAGTCGATGTTCCAGCTGCCAAGCGATGTGGTTGTCACGCAATACAAGAGGCTGTTGGCAGACGCCAACATGCGGCTGCTGAAGAAGTATGGTATTAACAAAGATGGCTACCAAAAGTTCAACCAGACAATCGTGTTCGGCGCGGAGAAGATCTGTGAGAACGATGACATGGCCTGCAAGTATGTGCCTCAATCGATACTCTCGGAGAGTACATACGGAAGCGAGAACGGTCGACGCATATCAGATACCCCGGCGAAGTTCATTCACTCCAAGATGGTCATGGGCCCGGCGAGCGACTTGAAGATGCTATACCAGCTCGCCCTCGAGAAGTTCATGGAGGGCAGAAGTCAGTCGCAGACGGTGCAGTCTGTATTCGCGACTCTCTTCGCCGAGCAGCAGCTGGGGAGAGATGCGGAGGAAGTGGCGTCGAAGCATACGGGAACCAAAGTCAAAGAATACCTCACGGGCAGAGCGAGCACGTCAGAAGCCGAGCGAAGACTGGAGCATGCCAACGCTGAGTTCGCGAACACTACACGACATGAGTTTTCCGTCGGCCTGGACTATACCCACGCGCTCTTCCAACCTTTGGACTACTGCCTCGAAGACGAACTAGTTCCTGTTTTGCATGACAACTCGACCGACTTGTCGCAATACAGCCACTCCGACTCAGACGCCCGTTATCTCTCCCTCCCTGTCGCCCTCAACGAGACCAAGACCCCATTCTGGCGCCCCGACTTCGTCGAGCACAACCCGTCTCCCAACGAAAAGCCGGCATACATTGACAATCTGGAGTTTACACTAGAGCTCGATGGCCTGCCGAGCCGCAAGCTTTCCTGGGAAAGCATACCTCTGATCCAGAACACATACTCCGGTTCGGTTCCCGCCATCATCTTAAGCAGCTCTTCGCACTCGAGCGGCGAGCGTCCACCATCCGCCAACATAACCTGGGACAACTTGTGGTACTCAGACCACAAACGCGCCATGTTGAGAAACTACTTCCGCGCACCTCAGTCTTCCGACGGCTACCACAACCACCTAGTCGGCGGCGATCGCTACTGGGACAACCGCGGCGGACGAGGCGGCATATGGACCGAAGCCGAGCAAACCTGGCTGCCCTGGGGCGAAGTGGATGGCGTCTGCGGCACGCTGCCCCAACTCAAGGAAGTGTTCAACGATGGCAAGGGCGTGTGGCTACATGAGCTCGAGCAGGACAACGAACAAGGCCGTCTCAACGAGCAGGAGGAGCTTCGGCAAAAGCAGGAAGAAGCCCGACTCAAGGACATAGAAGCGTTGGTTAAGGCGGAACAGGAGGCAAAAGAGAAGACCGAGCAGAAAGAGAAGGAGAGTATTGACTTTGAGAAGTTGAAGGAGCTCCAGGATATGGAGGCGAAAGACGGGCAGAAGGTTGAGAGGAGGAGGAAGAGATGGAATGTTGTCGAGGAGTGTGTAAGATACTGTTAGTGGGTCTGGTTTCTTCTATCTGTTATATATCCCGGGCTTTCGCCGTCTTTTCTTTTCTGTTTATTGGGTGGATGGGTCTGTTGTATGATAGTTCACGCCTTTTCAGGTGCAATCTCATGATGTTTCTCTGTTATGGTAGTATCGTCCTGTAGTGTTTGTCTCTTGGTGCAAGACACGAGACTCAGCCACGTGCACGAACGACAAGCCTCACAAATAACCCAAGAGATAGATATACTTCTTCATGCTACCTTGGTCGCACTGCTACACAGGACTCAACCATGGCGACCGATTCGATCATGGCTACCGAACCAACCAAGGCGCCTTACCCCTTCGTTTACATTTACATCGACGCGATGAGCTTCCCAGTACATACATACACCCAATTTGCGTTACCAGCCAGACACTAACACGAATCAGTATGCCAACGAACTCGTCCAAAGCAACACTAAAGCCAACATGGGTCCGAAGTTGGAAGCCCTCATGCGTACTTGTCTCAAGAAGCACTCGAAGAAGCTGCCGAATGTCGACCTAGAATCGTGCGTACTATGGGTAGACGTCCTTATAAAGGCGGAAAACGGGGATTGTCCACCAGCTATGCTCCGGTTCTGTGAGGACGTGACTGGGGTTCATGACTCGAAGATATTCTTGTTGATGGACGGCAAACGCAGGGAAGGTGTGCAGGGTAAAGTCCACCGTGGGAACGCTGTGATTCAAACCATATGGCTAACTATTGACAGACGAACCGGATGAGGTACCCAACGATCCAATGTGCCAGTTTACTCTCCTCGCTACCCGGAGGCCAGATCAACTTGAGGTGTTCACGAGGAGGGATAGTAATTGTATGATCACAGACGAGCTACCTGGCTACGTACCCGTCAACGCAGCGGGCCAGCGTGTCGACGAAAATGTCGTTCAACGACCCGCTGACTCCTGCTTTGGCGACTATCTCGGACACAAACGCCGGAATGGTAGAGTTCGTAGCTGCTATCACTACCACCTGGGCGACGGATGCGACGGCGAGGAATGCCAATACGATCATAGCGAGATCACCGACGATGTGTTGAGCGTGTTGTGGTTTCTAGGTCAGAGAACACGCTGTGTATATGGCGGTGCGTGCCGACGTATGAACTGCTTTTTTGGACATGTCTGTCATTGCAAGGACTTCGGAGGCAAGCATCCGAAGTGCAAGTTTCAAGACGGGGAACATGGGGTTGACCAGACGGTTCATCATTGGGAGATGGGGAGGCTACACCATGATAACATGGTTTAGTGTGATTGGGTGAATAGACGGATACGGCAGGGTGGTGGAAGATGCGAGGAGATGACGTTGTGGCTGCGCTGATAATTGGTGTAAGTGTGATAGGCCATCGAGTATCTCATGTGATTCTGGGTGTTCGACGGCAGAGTGGATACATAGGGTAGGCAACTACGGTAACCACGTTTTGCAACAAGCGAAAGACCTCCGAGGATACGTCGCTACCCTGGTTGGGAAACAGAAAGAGTGACGTATCGTACAAATCCTCAAAAGAAGTTCAGTTAATACCATTAGGAAAGACCTGACTGGCCAGCCCACTTAACTCAACCACGGAAAGACAAGAGCAATATACCACAGCACCAATTTGACACCAAATATATATTTGACATGCCGCACATACTTCTAATCATTACAAATTTTCTCCACTCCAAAACTTCTCACTCCTACCACTTTCACCAAAACCGTCAAGTACGACCACAGCACCACCCAAAATGTCCACCACACCACCCAAAACCGGCCTCCCAACCACCCGCCGCCTATACACCCCAAACTTCTCCATATCCCCCCTTCACGCAGAAGCCCTGTCAAACATCTACGCCCCCATCACCAAAGATCTTTTCCTCTCCAAACCGCCATCCTGGAAAACAGACTCCGTCACGTCGCCCCCAAAATGGAAGGGCGAAAAACACCTATACAAAGACCCAGCCTACTACACCCTCGACCCCCGCGGCATAATCCCCTCCAAAAAGTTAGAAGCCAGGGGGTTAATCGAAATGCCCTTCCAAGCCTCCTCCACCTTCCCCCGCCTCCTCATAAACAAGACCGAATACCGCGACGGCCCCATATACCCTCAATTCGGCGATTTCCGCATCGACAAACTGGTCCGGTATGAGAAAGCCAACGTTCCGGCTAGTTGCTCTTCCATCGGCGCACCGCACGCCCGGAAACCAATCCAGGGAGCGGGATTAGTACCGGAAATGATCAACATACTGTCTAATCCGCATATCAGGAAAGGCCAGTTCCCGGCGCCGTTTTGCGAGTTGCCGGATGACAAGTTTGTTGCGTGGTTTGTGAGGAATATGGTGATGGTGGGGTGGGGGGAGTGGGAGGCGGAGGTTGAGGCGGAGAGGGTGTTGAGGAGGGGGGATGGGGAGGGTGTGGAGGAGTTGAGTGGAGTGGTTGAGGAGAAGGGGGACAAGCAGAGGGAGGATGAGAGGGGGTGTGCTTTGGCGAAGGAGATTAGGGGGAGGTTGGAGGCGATTGAGCGGAGGAGGATGGAGAGACGGCAGGGCAAAACTCAGAGGGCGGTGGAGAGGAAGAGCGGGTGTGAGGAAGTGAGGGATGATGTTTCCTTGTCGACAATGGAGGAGGAACCTGTGAAGCAGGGGAGGTATCCCGTTGAACGCAGAAAGTGGACTTGGATAAAGAAGTTCTTTTGGTGGAGATGATTCCCATCCCCTTCTACCATCCATCCTACATAGTAACGCAAGCAACCCCTTACATAACCTTCGGCTGACTCTCCGCAAGCTTGATCTTGCCCTGCTCATCATACACAATCTCCCTAATCTTAACACACCGCAGATGATTAACACCCTTACTCAAACTACTATCATGGTAGAACAGATACCACTTCCCCTTGAACTCGGCAATACTGTGATGCGTCGTCCACCCAATCACCGGTTCGAGGATCCTTCCACCGTACGTAAACGGTCCAAGCGGGCTATCTCCAATCGCATAGCACAAGAAGTGCGTGTCGCCCGTCGAGTACGAGAAGTAGTACTTCCCATTATACTTGTGCATCCACGCCGCCTCAAAGAACCTCCTGTCGTGGTCCTCCGCCTGGATAGGCTGGCCCGCTTCGTCGAGGATAACAACATCCTTGACATCCGAGGTGAAAGTCGTCATGTCATCCGACAGTTTCGCTACTTTCGCGCAGAGCGCCGGGCCAGACGACGCCTCCATAGTCTCGTAGTCTTCGCGGACAAACTTGCCCGTCTTCCAGCACTGCAACTGCCCACCCCAAATCCCTCCAAAATACAAATACGCCTGACCATCCTCATCCACGAAACTGGCTGGATCGATGCTGAAACTGCCCTTGATGGGCTCGGGTTCAGGCTTAAACGGCCCCTCTGGCTTATCGCCGCTCGCAACGCCAACGCGGAAGATACCCTCCTTATCGCGGGCCGGGAAGAAGAGGTAGTATTTCCCGTTTTTGGATGCGGCGTCGGGGGCCCAGAGTTGTTTTTGCACCCAGGGGATGTCTTCTTGCTTGAGGGCTACGCCGTGGTCGGTGACGGGGCCGCCGACTTCTTCCATGCTGAAGACGTGGTAGTCGTTCATGTCGTATTGGTCGCCGTTGTCGTTGTCGGCGATGTCGGTCTCGCGGTCGTGCGAGGGGTACACGTAGAGCTTGCCATTGAAGACGTGGGCAGAGGGGTCCGCGGTGAAGACGTGGGTTACGATGGGTTCTTTGTCTGCCATGATTGTTTGTATGTATGTGTGTATTTCAGTTTTGGTTGATGTTGGGACAGATAGTTGAATTGAATTGAAAAAAGCAGCAATGTTATATAGCTATACGTTGCCCTTCCCCATGGGCCCTTATGAATGGAGGGGTAGTCTGCCCCACGATGCGCCAGCCGCTCTGCTATTTACCCGGCGGGACGGCTATCCTGAAGCCAAGCAAATTGCAGTTGGATCCAAGACGGTCATACCACTTAGTATTGCTCAATCGCGGTACAATGGTGTCCGCTGTGGATGAAGAGATGGATGGAAGTTCGGCGTGCTGTTTAGCCGTCTATTCTTCCGCCCGCACAAGCGCGTGCTTCTAGTGCTAACTGCTAATCTGCCTCGGGTCGGCGGCGTCATGCGCTGCAACCGCGGGAGTCAAGTTCGCGCAAGATGCAGATCCAGGGTGCGGGTGACATGCAGGGAAGTAAGAAGTTGTTACGTGTATCCAAAGATTACGTTGTAGGGTTCCTACTTTTCATACCATGACCGATATCTATATTACTACAATTACACGTGCAGAACCGTGAAGACATCCAATGACGTCGCAACCTGGAAGCTGCATCGGGGGTATTAAATGCTCAGCCCAAACGCCATCGCTACCCAAGAACGTGATGTTTCTTCTTCCTCGACAGCAGTGGCTGGGGTTTTGGCGCACTTCTACCTGTCAAGATCTCGATACCGCCGTCCATATTCGGCGGACTGCGTGCAGAAGTGCGAAACGCACTCGAGATCCTCATACCAAGAACTGAACTAGACGTGCGTCGGCGCGAACTTGCCGCATGCGTAGGAACGGACTGCGTCTCTTTCAAAGTGAACTCCTGCAGCCCTTCGACAACGTCATGAACGTCCCGGCGTCTGCCCTCTCCTTGGCAACGGGCTGCTCTAGGACACGTCAGCACACCTGCAAACTCAAGCAAGCGACAAAGCGCCAAGCTCAGGTTTGTAGGGTCTGGTACAACTTCATGGTCTTGTTCCGCACATCGGCACACTGCTGCAGCGCAGTGATGTGCTTTTCTTGCGCAAGCTTCCATGTCTCCATGACACTCTCGTCCTCTTCCATCTTAGCCATGTAGCTCGCAAACCCAATTCCCCTGGTGGTCTCGCCGCGCTGGTGGATGAAGTGATGATCCAAGTCTTCCATCTCGCTGCTCCGCGCAGCAAAGTGGCCAGTAAGGACTTGACAATAGGCTCTGTAGGATTTGACATAGACGCCCATGTGGTCGAAGTACGTGTTTACGGAAGCCACATCCAGCTTGATAGGTGGGGTGGGTGCTCTAGGTATCTCTGGATACTTGAGATTCTTTGCAGCGTTTGCCTTGATGGGATGTGAGTTGGATGCGCCGGAAGGGAAGGGGAGAGAATCCATTACAGATCCCATGCCGGAAAGTCCGCCGTTCTGAGGCTCCACAACCGGATTGATCATGTCTGGACCAAGACCGTTCAGTCCTTCGGCTGGTGGTTTTGCAGTGGTCGCAGAAGGAGGTGCAGTAGCAGATCCATTCGGCGTCGCGTCTGCACCTGCCGTGTTCAATCTCGGTGATGTACGCGTTCCCTTCTTTGCGGGCTTCGCGCTTGGTGGTGGGACAGGGTCGATATCCATGGCATCTACATCACCATTTGCTGGCTCTTCTGCAAAGGCCTGGTACTTGGACCTCGCTGAGTCGGTTGATTCCTGAGGCTTCGACGCTCCGTTCTGCTGTACCGAAGCCTTTCGTGCAGCCTTTGGACGTTTCGTAGCCTCTGATGGTCGACGCGGCGATGTCTCCTTCTCCTGATTGTATACCCAGTTCGGATCCTTGAACGTCTCTTGCCAGGCTTGAGGACTGAACTTGGCAGTGTGTGGCGCCATCTTAGGTGGGGCGAAGTTGACACCCGGTGGTGGTCCCGGTGGAGGAGGAGGTATTGGCTGTCCGTTGGGCGCGACGGGAGGCGGGTCCATCGGCCGCGTGCTGAAGGGGTTGCGGTCTGTCGCATTTCGCTGTGATCTGCCGCGGGTTGGAGAGGCTCGGCCTTTTCCGTTGGCACCTTTTTGCATGTTAGGAGCAAAGTAACTGCCACTGCCTTCGAACTTGCCATGCCAGTCCGAAGGCGAGAATTTCAAGTTGATGCTTTCTTCACTCCTGCTCTTGAAGCTGTTGGGTATGTTCCCTGGCACGCCGTTACTCTGTCGTTTCGGATCAGGAGTCGTGAAGTTGCCTTCTGCCCAGGTTGGCGGAGGCGGTCTTGTGTTCTGAGGTGGTGGCGGAGGGTCACGGTGTTTGTTGCCAATGTTGGACGCTTCTGAGTCGGATTCTTCGTCGCTAGAGTCGGGATATCCATGAGCGAAAGGGTTCGGCTTCGCGCTGGGCTTCTTCCCCTGTGTTCTGCGACCCGAGTCCGAGAAGGCGCCGGCATCTTGCGAGTAGCTGGCTCGGTGCGAGTGTGTTGGCGAGTTGCGCACGCTGGAAGATCGTCCGAGACCTTCGAACATGGAGGTACGCTCGCCTGCTACGTGGGAGTGGTATGGCGTGCGCACGCGGTTGGCTTCTGAATATGGGACGTCGTCGGCATGGCTATCCGTATCAGGAGTCGTGGACATAGGTGGGGTCGGAGCCGGACGGGCATAGTTCCTATACGCTGACCGCGCCTGGCCTTCATCGACGCCTGGTGTTGATGGGTCAAAGCCAGTCTTGGACGACGGAACCCGGGTGCTCTGGCTGCGGCCAAAGGGAGTGCCATTGGGGTTGTTCTGCGGATTGGTGTGCGGACTACTCTGAGCGCTTGGGTTGTGCTGTCGAGGGTCCTCGCCTCGTGGCTGCTTCATCTTCTGCCATGCTGTGAAGACATTCGCGCGAGCCTCTGCATCCCTGGCCTTTGTGTCCGGTCGCTGCGCTGTTGGCGGCGCGCGGAAATTCCTGCCCGAGAACCTGTCCGCACCGGTGTTGTATGTGCTGTGGTGTTGCTGTGGTGGGGGAGGGCGCTGGGCTTGCGGCTGCGGTTTCGGCGGAGGTGCGCGATAGTATGAGCCCTGTGGGGTAGTTGTAGTGTATGCGTTCCTGGGAGGCGGCGGCGGTCTCGTTCGCGGTGTGTTGGGCGTGTGGCCAGGAGCAGATACATTGCGGTATTTCCTTCTATCGGCGTCGTACTTGGCTCGTAGGCTGGCATCGCATAGTATCTCGTGTGCGGCCTGAATCTCTTGGAAGCGGACGACGAATTCGGCTTCGCGCCCAGGGTTGCGATCTGGGTGATACTGCAGCGCCAGCGTTCGGAAAGCCTTGCGGATCTCGTTCTCGCTGGCCGTCGGGGATACCTTCAGGTCGGCATAGTAGTTTCGCGTGGCATCGGCTTTGACCATGGCGGCGGTATTCGCAGAGAGAGGTGAACGAGGAGGCTGGCGGGAGGTTGCACAGTGCGCGCACTCTGCCCTTGTAGGCAGCTCTAGTCGTCAAGCAGCCTGGTGGGGGTTGCCCGTTGACTGCCTTGTCGTGTGGCAGGGCAGTGCTGCTCAGATGATGCTGGCTGCGCGTGGACGTCGGCACATTGTGTAATGGAAGCTGAACCACGGAAACGGCAAAAGTCTGGATTTCTCACCCTGTCAGCCGCATGTCGTCAGTGTTGCAGAGAGGTGTGGTTACCCTTTGCGTCTATTGGAGCTGCAGTCGCTTGTTGCGCTGGCGAGGTGCTCTGCATGTGTTTTGGGCTGATGTTTTGGCTGAGAGGGGCCTACGGCAACGCTTAGCAACGCCCGACCTGGCCACGACAAGAACCCTGTATTAATTCCTTCTGGCCTCTCGAAGATAATTTATGTCGCAGTTATCCAAGCGTGCACGGAAATGGCCACAGCGAGTACAGCGCATTAACCTTGGTTTTGCCGTGTGTCTGACGTCGATGGTGCAGCTGTCTTACCAATACCGGTACCGGTCAGCTACCCATGTGAAAGTCCTGTTCGCTCTTGGCTATAGCAAGGCACACTCGCTCCTCCGAACATGGTCAATACGACGCCTTCTTCAACCGCAGCAGCATCTTCACGTTTGCTACCTGACATTTCACATTGCAATAGATGAAAACTGAAGTGTTGTCTTCGTAAAGATCATGAATCCGGTATGATTTTGAAAGTCCTGACAGCTTTTTTGCTGCTAGGAAGCTACGTAGCCCAGGACACCCTATGCCATTCACGCCAGCCCATACGCTGAAAACAATCGACCAGACGTTGCACCAAGCACACCATATGCTCAATGCATTTAACGGTAGCGCCAGAGGGAGAGGGTGTTGTGCCTCTTCCAGGTCTTCCTCCTTCCAGCAGTGGTGTTGTTGAACTTGTGTCCACGGCCGAGACCACGGCTCTTCTTGCCGGTGGCGGTGAGACCACGAGCCTCGCGGTGCTTGTGGACGGGCTTTGTGATCCAGTTGATGCGAGGATCGCGGCGGATGGCCTTGTGCTGGGGGTCGACGCAGATGACCTCGTAGTACTTGTAGGTCGAGTCCTGGTTGATCCAGTAGGAGTTGAGCACGCGCAAGTTGGCGCAGCGGCGGCCGATACGCTCCTCAGCGGTGGACTTGAGAGAGCGCTGGTACTTGAGCTGGTTGATACCCTGGTTGGTAGGCTTTCCTGTTCGATTGTCAGTTTTTCGTTCCATAGCAATTGGATTGCATGTTGCGTACCGTAGGTGGCGCCCCTGGAACATAATGTTAGCATAGTCCCTTTGCCCAAGATCTCGGTTGTACGTACTTGGGAGCCTGCCTCTTGCGACCTCCACGGCGGACGCGGATGCGGTAGATAACGTAACCCTGCTTGGCCTTGTATCCGAGACGGCGGGCCTTGTCGGGGCGCGAGGGGCGGCTTGCGCGGTGGATGACCTTAAGTTGGCGAAGCTATCGATGCACTCTCAGCAAAGTTCAACGAGTACACCAATTGAGACATGGGTCTCGGGATAATCATACCTCCCAGCACTGTCGTGTTGTTAGCAGAGTCCTTTGTCCAGCTCAATCGGTTATACGTACGCGAACGCGCATCAAGAAGCGCATCATGTCCGACTGCTTCTTCTTCTGAAGTTCTTCGACATCTACGGCGGATCAGCTACGAGCGGGCAATTGCGGTGTTCGGTGTGCGCTTACACTTGAGGGCACCCATCTGCGGTATTGTTAGTATAGAGTCGACGAGGTTCAGCAATATCGAGGAGACGTACCTTGACTGTTGGTTAGTAGATTGTCGACGCTGTCGTGCTGGAGGTTGCGAAAAGATGATACGACAGGTATTTCGCACTGTGTGGGCGGGGCCGTGCGAGGCGCTAGCTTGACGAGGCAACGCGCAAACTGACACGAGTCGGTCAGAAGAACATGGCCCCGCCGAGCACGACTGCGAAACCGCGAACGCCAAATGTTGGGAAAGTGCAGAGGCGATGTTCTCGTCTGACTGCATGTGACGAGAGTAGAGCGATAAATCTTGCAGATCTGTAATTTCATTCATGAGCCATGTTCAGAACTTGCTCTTGCGTGGGTTGGAGTCTGGTGTTCTGCTCGGTTCGATGTATACTCCGCATTAGGAAGTTCATCAAAATCCGTCGATTGCTTGTGTCTGCATTGTTACCACGGGCTGTGAGAACCATCGCCGTGTCCATGTACCTCGTCTTCTTCATGCCCACCCACACATCGCCTTGAACACCACAATACCGCTCATACCTAGCAGCCATCACCCATCGGCAATCCCTTGACCATCCTCTTAACACCCCTCTCCGCATACCTCAGACTCTTCTGCAGCTCATAGTTCAGCTCAACCTTCTCGCCTCGTTCCATATCCACATCGCCGTCTTCGTCCGTCGTCACAGAGTCCTCCACATCCGCTCCCAACACCTTCTTGACATTCCTCAGCGCAACTCTAGCGCCCTTCTTGAGCTGCTTGTCCGTGTCCTCGATGTCCTGCTTCCATGTGTCTGCAATAGTGTCGGGCTGCTCTTCTCGTAGTTTCGCAATCATACCGTCTAGCCTTTGGTATTCGTTGACGAGGGCCTCGGATGCGCGTAGGACGCTGGTGACGGAGGTGTAGACTGCGTTGCCTGCGATTTGAGTGCCTGCGAAGGTTTCGGGCTTGCCCTTTGCTGGCCGGTTGGGGGTTTGCAGGGCTTCGAAGATGGTGGAGGTGAGTTCTTCGCGACGGCGCTCTTCTTCCTTCTCGCTACAGTAGCTGTTAGAGTAGTATTGCAGATGATGAGAGATTGACTCACGCTTGGAGCTTTCGCTGTGCTAGTAGTGCGTTGTACTTCTTCTGATCGGCATTTATCGTGGCGCGGAATTCCTGCATCTGGGTTTCATCTTTCTTTGGCTTCTCGAGAAGACGACTGAGTGAAAGCATCTGCTGGCTCTCAGGCGCGGGTGAGGCATGTCGGCGCGCCATGGTTGGGATGGTATGTGAAAAGGTGAGATGGTATGGCACATTGGTGAGGAAGGTGCCACCCGGTGTCAATATCTGAGGTAGGCGTGTAGGCCACATCACACTTTTAGTTGTCAGAAAAATCCTGAAATGTAGGCCGGGAGGATCTCAATCAGCCCACGGGCTTCAGGAATTTTTTCTCTGGGGTGCCGGGAGGTATTCAAGGTGTTGAAACACTTCACGAAAATTAGGCCAGGAGGTATTCAGTGATTTTGGCAGAGTCATCTCAAACCTGATATATAGGCCTGGCAGATACCACAACATTCACAAAAGACAGTTTTTTGGTGCCAGAAGCATTCTCATTTCGCCACATAGGCATGATATATAACTAAAATACACGCATTCATGGGGATTTTTGGTGGTGAAAGCAAGAAAAATCAAGCAAAATCAGGAAGGGGAAATGACTTGCCTCACCGGGCAGTCTACATAAGCCTTGGAATCATGGGTGAAAAGGAAATGAAAAGGAAATACCATATAATGATCAAAACCCGAAAAGAAACCTTGAAGAGAACTTGACTTGACAGTCAATTCTGTCTTCAGTTACCGAAAGACAAGTTGTGCATGGCACCATTCAAGGTGCTGTCAGCGCCAGTGGTGGGGCGACCACGTCCTCCTGAGGCGCCATAGTATCCTCCAGGAGCAGCTGAGGTGTACTGGGCATTGGCGTAGGCGTTAGTGTAGCCACCACCAGAAGAGTACGAAGCGCCACCGTTGTACGCGTTGTGGTGCTGATGACCGAAGGCGTGGCCGGTACTGGAGGTGTAGTTGCGCGAGGCAGCGTATCCAGCAGTAGTTGTAGCAGGCCCATACCCTCCACCGTATGACGAAGTGTAAGTCGAAGGCGGATAGTAGGCTCCAGCTCCATAGTTCATCGGGCTGCCGCTCGCAGTGACGTTGGGGTAGTAGTTACGGTACATCTGCTGCTGCATCTGCTGACCGTGGGACCAAGGCTGCATGTTGTATGAGGGCTGGGTAGGGTAGGCCGGGATCTGGTGGGAGAACGCGTGGAAGCCGTCGTCGTAGTTACCGTAGTTGCTCTGGGTGCGAGCTTGACCTGAGCGATAGTTAGCAATCATACACACGTAGCAAGGAGACGACGATGGACTTACCGTACTGCTGGGCCGGGCGCTGGGTGTTGGAGCCGAAGCCGGGGCCGACAGAGGAAGAAGCATTGCCGTTGTTGGATGTAATGATGGCTCCAGGACCGATAGCAGAAGGCGGGGGAATCTGAGACATGCCGGCAGGGTTGACGACTGATGCAGGGTTCACAGCCGACATCCAGATGCGGACCTTGTACTGCTTGAACAGGTCGGTGACGAGCTCGTTGAAGTTGACATACGACTCGGCGTAGTAGAAATAGGTAAGCTTGTGGTAATCACTGAAGATGTTAGTATGATGAACAAGAAGGTGAACATGTCTGACTTACGCCTGGTACTCAGCATCGAGGATCTCCATAGGCAGCTTGTGGTCAGCGGCCTTCTGAGCTCCGAGACGCTTGGCCTTGGCCTCTCCACCCTCCTTCTCACGTAGCGCAGAGATCTCATGGGCCTGAGCGAGACGCTTGATCATCTTCGGCTTGAACGGTTCAGGCTCTCCCGAAGCAGTAACTGGGGTGCGGCTCATGGGGTTCGGGAATCCGTTAGCACGGGCGAGGGCGCCGAGCATGCCGGAGTCGTTCTGGGTGCCGGCCAGGGAGTACTGAGAGAACATGACGAGCCAGCGGAAGTGCTCCTCGTTGGCCTCAACCTTGAGCTTCTTAGCCTCCTCCATGGTCAAGTCGGCATGAGTGATCTGGCCCAGGTCGCATCCACGGTCGCCTTCAGTGATGACAAGGTCGCCACGACGGATCTCGAGGCCGGTGTTGTCGTAAAGGTAGTAGATGTCGGCACGAGAGCACTTGAAGGTGACAATGTACAAGCGGCGAGTGGGGTTTCCGATTCTAGGAGGGACCGCGTAGGGGTTGCCAGCAGACATGGCCATGTTGGGCACGACAGGATCTGGGTGAGCTGCCGAGATGGCGGAGGAGTTGATAGCGCGCGAGGCCGGGCCGTAGCCAGTGAAGTAGGCAGAGGCGTCGAAGGGCTCGTCATCCTTGTTGCCACGTGGGCTCTGGCGGGGTGAGACGTACTCCTCCTCTTCTTCCTGAGTGTTGCTCAAGGTTGAGAGCGGCATGGCTGAGTTGTAGCTACCGTAATGGGCGAACGAGTGACGGCGGCCGAGGGGGTCCATCTCAGCAGGTGAGATGTTGCCTGTGGTCCACTGGGGCTTCTGAGGGCTGTCCACGATCTCGACTTCGTGATCACGGTTGAGGACACCGACGTGCTCGCTGAAGCGACGGGTAAGGCCTGGGCCAGGACGGTTGACCGCAGGCTCAGTGTCGTCAAGCTCTTCGATGGCATACTCACCGGCGGCGTTGTAAGAGGTGTTGCGCAGACCGGCAGTCGTCTTGCGGCGCTGCTGCTGGAGCTGGGAGACAGGGGAGCCAGTGGAGGTAGCCCTGCTGCGGGCGCGAGCGTTCTCCATGGCGGCTTGTTTGAGCAATGCTTGTTTCTGCTCACGCTCCCAGTAACCGGCGGGCAGGCGGACTCCGTGCTCTGAGCCGTTGGAGGACTCGATCTCGTCGGCGTCGTCTTCACGCAGCTGCGAAAGGCCGACAGCGGACTCACCAAGAAGGCTGGGCTTGGATGGACGGTGGCGGAGGTTGGCGCTGGTGTTTGGCTGACGCGAGAAGCGACTGACAGGACTGTGCTCGATGTCGCCTTGACCTATGCTATAGGACTGGGAACGGACAGCCTTGCGGAAGGGATTGGGAGCTTGTTGGTTGAGCAAAAAGCCAATACCGTTACCGTCGTCGCCTTCAACTGTGGTGGGAGAGGGGATAGGCTTGTCGGTGGGTGCAAAGGCAGATGTAGGGGAGGGAGCGATCTCTTTGTTGGGTCGATTCAAACCGTTGAAGCTAGGCGTATTCCAGGGGAACGACGACGTGGACGGGCGGGACTGCTGGGGCAACTCGAGTGACGGTGTTGTGGGCTGCGAGCCGGCAAACGACACCGAGGGCAGCGAGAACTTCCGGTTGGGCTGGATATCTTGGAGCCAACCAGAAGAGGGACGTCGAACACCGAGAGGGTAGGAGCCTTGCGCAGGGCGAGTAACGACTGGCACGTGCTCGCGGTCGTCGTCGCTGGACGCCAAGACATCGCTGTCAGGGGTGGGACGTCGGAGTTGCAACTTCGACTTCTCGAGCGCTGAACCACCGACGGTCAAGCCGCGGTTGTAAGGGTTATTACTCATCATGGATGGTCTACTTTGAAGACGTCAGTGATCTCCTTGTCATGGATGACAGAACAGTGGCTGGACGTACCTTGAAGAGTTGCAGGATTGGGGATGAATAGGGGGGTGTCTTGATGCACACTACCTGCACACGGAAGATGTCTGTGATGCACAGGGTAGATGCTATGTTGCGTGGTCGAGGGTGTAAGAAGATGTAATGTCTAGGCAGGTGGTGTGTCTTTATGTCTCCTTCACCTCTAATCGCAAACGCGCAATATGTTAGCGCCGACGTCATCAGAAGGGGCGATAAGGAGCGGGGTATCAAGGGTGAGACAGGTAAAGGCAGCGGTGAAGGTAGACGTGAGGGCATTCGTGCGGGCATACGTGGGGGCAAACGGTGAAGGTGGCCAGCCAGCGTAGGTGAAGGGCGGGGC